CTTTGATTTTTCCAAACCACACAGCTGTCCTCATACTGAGTGTAGCCCTAGGGATTGTCAGGGAGTTTGACCTAGGTAGCACTGAGCTGCCAAATTCCGTTAATTCTGAGCACCCTCTCTCACCTTCACTTCTGCCTGCACCTCTTGCTAACATGCTTCTTAACTGCCTGGCTTCCCACCCTCGCATGCATCCTGTCTTTTTGCTTAGGAGAATGAGATCAGGCAAATGAGCTTTGCATAATTAGCATGTATGGGATTATATGCAAGGGTCATCTCCCAACAAAACATTTTTGTAAGAAAAACTTTTAAATTGGTTATATTTTCATCTTGCTGCCAGCATGTTCTTTGTAAGCAGTACATTGGAAGAGTGAGGCACCACTGTGCCTTTTATTTTGTAAATCATTTTATTGGGCCTCGACCTCTGTGCCTTTTAATGGTCAAACCAGGAGACTGGCAGGCTCAGTGATCCCTAGGAAGAGAGGTGGGAACAGGGAGAACTCCCACAGACAGGATTCTCAAACAAAGCAAGCTGCAAAAATTATTTTGTGACGATATTATAGGAGACGATAACTCCAGGGTATACAACGAATTCCAGTAAGATGTTCTAATGATAGTTTTAAAATTTTGATTTGTATGAATAATTTCCTTGGATTATACTTGAAATGACTGGTATTGATTATATTTCCTACTGTTCCAATTTTGGTTAGCACATAGGTATTTCCTTTCTTTGTATAATCGGCGGTGTGGTAGTGATGAGGTACAAGAACTGTGACCTGTCTCCACCTGGTCCCGTGCTCCTTGGAGAGAAGTCTCAGTGAGTCTCCTTGCACCATTGAGATGTTGAGATGCTTTCTTTCTCTCTTCCCCCGCCCCCTCCCTTTGTTTCATAAGTGAAGTACTTAAACCTGCTTCTTGACCATGTAGCAAGAAGACAGCTTGAAGGAGTTTGTTCTGTTCAGTGTTGGGACCCCTGCCATCGAGCGCTGTCTGGTTCAGGAGGCACCGGATGGAGGAAGCCTCTGCACGTTACCGCATTTCTTTAAAAGAACAGCGTTAACTTCTCTGTAGAAATCATTCCATCGACTGAGGTGCGCTTGACTCGCCAAGTAAAGGCTTCCGGCTTGCATGGAGTAACTGAATAGGTTCGAGACGCCCAGAGATGAAGATTTGTAGCTTAGCCCGTTGCCCCTTCCCTGTGCCCTCCTCTGCCTGGGAGACAGTGCTGGGATTTTACAGAGGCCATTGCTTGAGCTGCTGCTGCATCCTCATAGCAGTGTGGAACTGGGTTTAGTCAGCTCTTCAGCCACTTTAGACTGGGAGGATGTGTGTGTATGTGCGCATGTATCTTGAATAAAAAGCACAGCACCCTAGAAACCAACTCAACTGAGCAGAGCAAATGTTTTGGAAAGTATTGTGGCCTAATTATGGTGTAACTAAGTGTAAATAACAGTGATTTAAAAGGTAAGGGTGAGCTAGCTAACAGCTCCACTGTAATACTTAGGAAAACCTTGATGATAGTTTAATATATATTGAAATGTACATGGGAATAACTTATAATTTGATGGCTGTCACCCTACTCCTCCCACCCACCACAGTTTATAATGTAAAAAGTACTGCCATCTATTGGAGTCTTTTTAGGGTGAGATTTGGAGATTAAAAAAAAAATAGGAAGGAGAGCCAGAGCCTGCAGGGCAAAAATGACTGTTTTGTGCCTAATGATGGTTGCCTAAAATGAGCTCTGAGCCCAAACTGGTAGGGTTCTCTGAGTCTGTGATGCGCTTAGCTCTTGTGTTGAGAAACCCTTTATTTAAAATGTTATTTCCATTTTCCTATGACGGGTAAAGGAGAGCTTTGAGAATTGAATGTTTCCTGCTTATTCACAGCCATGAAGGCTGGTTGCTAAGTCGGATCCAACTCTTAATGACCCCGTGCACAGCAGAACAAAACCCCGCCCCGCCCTGCTCCGTCCTCACAGTGTTGTTGAGCCCATTGTGCAGCGACTGTGTCCGCCCATCTCATGGAGGGTCGTCTTCTTCCACTGACCTTCTGTTTTACCAAGCATGGCGTCCTTGTCCAGGGACTGAGCTCTCCTGAACAGATGTCCTAAGTATGTGAAACCAGGTCTCCCCATCCTGAGGAACATTCTGGCTGTACTAGCACCAAGATTTTTTCCTTCTTCTGACAGTCTCTGGTACTTGTAATATTTTTTGCCCGCATCATGATTTGAATGCATCTATCCATCTCTAGGCGTTATTTCCGTTCATTGGTCAGCTCTCATATGCGCAGGAAGTGATTGAACATCCCCTGGCTTGGGTCAGGCACACCTCAGCCCTCAAAGGGGCATCTACGACGGGATGAAGGCTTAGAACAGCTTTAATGGTCCTTTCTCGTTGAGACTCAAAGATGAGAGGAGAACTTGAAAAAGTTGGCGGAAATGCAATGGAAAGATGAAAATACAACTTGTTTCTCAGCATAAGCTGTAGCAAGGTCAAGACTCCTAAAAGTGGTGAAACCAACCATTTAGCCCCACCCTAAAGAACTGAGAGTCCTGAGAATTTACCATATATACTTGTGTATAAGCAGAGGTTTTTCAGCATATTGTTGGGGTTTTTTTGTTTTGTTTTTCAGCATATTGTAAATGCTGTGTTTTTGTGGTAAACTTGGGTGCCTTGCTGCTATTCGCATGGGCTTGTACTCGAGTATACACAGTATGCCAGTAATGTAAATTAATCTTTTTTACATTGCTAACTGAAGAGAAAAAGAAAAAGGAGAGCCCCTTTAAAGGTGTCTTTTTTCTTTTTAATTTTAATAAATCATTTTATTGTGGGCTCTTGTAGCTCTTAAAACAATCCACACATCAATCGTATCAAGCGCATTTGTACACGTTACCATCATCATTTCCAAAACATTTTCTTTCTACTTAAGCCCTTAGTATCAGCTCCTCTGTTGTCCCCTCCCTCCCCCGCCCTCGCGAACCCTTGATAATTTCTAAATTATTTTTCTTTTCATATTTTACACTGTCCGCTGTCTCCCTTCACTCACATGTCTGTTGTTTGTCCCCCTGGGGTGGGGGTTGTACATTAATCATTGCGATCGCTTCCCCCTTTCTCCCCTTCCACCCCCACTAACCGAAAAGCAACTTGGGACCATGGAGTCAATCCTAGAGGACAGAGTAGAGCTACCTACCTATGTGAGTTTCCAAGACTTTACCTCTTCCTGGGAGTAGAAAGTCCTGTCTTTGTCCCGGACAACGGCTGGTGGTTTCAAACTGCAGGACCACGGTGCCACCAGGGCTCCTTGTTTGATGACTGGGAAACAAGAAACCAGAAGGAGCCAAATTGTGACTGTAAGGTGGATGCCTCATAATTTTTGTGAGAATGGCGTGGAGACCAGCATGTGACCGACCACCTGGGGGTGGGGGTGGGGGTGAGGAGATGGGGGAGGGGGGTCAAGCTCATCATCATTCCAAGACAATTTCTGTGAAGGGGAGTCCGACATGACACCACGCTCGAACTGTCTCTGCTGAGACCTACGATCGGTTGCCGTGGCAATGCAAACTCACAGACTGTGCGTGTGATTTTATTAGGGGAAACTCTAAAACGGATGTGGGGCTGATTGTGCAATTCTCCGTGGTATGATTGAATGCTTGAACTATTGAGTTATATGATATGTCGGTTACTTGCCAATAAAACTGTTGGGGGGAAAAAGAAGAGAGCTCAGCTCTTCCCTGCCGCCGATCTGGGCACACCGTGTGTCACCCAATGAGCAGAAAGCGTGTTCGACTCTTCTGTCCGCCCAGGTTGTATAAGCTGAACCCGTTGAAGTATCTGCATGGTGTTGACTGGGTTTCTGCTGTTGTTGGTCATCTTCAATTAGGCCATGGCCATAGGGTTAATATTTTCCTCTCAAATTAATACAGACGGTCTGTTGTGGATTTCAACCTTGTCTCATCCCTTCTTAGAATGAGTTATCCATTTGTAACTTACTGATTGCTTGGCGGCATTGCCCCTGTAAACTGTTCCTAAAGAAATCAGTGGTTGTACCATTCTTCCAGCCAAGCATCCCCATCAATTTGGTGTTTATTCTTCAATTTTAGCAGAGAATTCACGTTGCTCTGATAGGAGCTCTGTTCAAACTGCTCCTTCTTGCCTCAAAGGATAACCTCTTCAGATAGATTGTAACAAGTTAGAATGTGCTTTAACTTGGTGCAAGAACCTTTTGAAGACCCCTCGTGCTGGTTTTATGACGAGACTCACACATTACAATAAAAGTGAGTGTAGTCTCTTAGTATTTGTTGGAGCTTTTGGTGCAAGCGTGCAGGTGGGTTTCTGTTAGGCATGTTCCTCACAGTTGGTCCTGTGGCATTAGTTAACAGTGACCACACTGTGTGTTCTGATGGTTGTTTCCAGTGCTGTAATTTCCCTGCTCCTTTACCATCTCATCTTTGCTTTTGGGAAACTGTTGACCTCATTCATACTGATGATTTTTAAATAAAGCACTGATTTTATGGGCAATATCTTTTATTTTAAGGAGTCGGGGGGCATAGTGTAATTAAGAGAAATTATACGGTTGGGCTGTCAACTTATAAGGTCAGTAGTTTGAAACTACGGGGAATTCCACTCCCATGAAGACTTAGTCTTGAAAACGGACGGAGGGGTACTTCTGCCCTGTCGTAAAGGGTTGCTAGGAGTCAGCATCGACTGGGTAGAAGTGAATTGGGGTTTGGGGTGACATTAATGGGATGACACATTGGGCTGCGTTGCAGGAGAAGGCTGCAGGAGACCGTTCTACTTGTCCTACTCAGTCAGCCCTGTCAGGTGGCCCTGGTCCCTGTGAGCTGGAATCAGCTTGGTGGCAGTGGGGCTCTGTTGTTGGTTCAGTCCGTTATTTAGTGTGTCACTCGATGGTGGTCTTAGAATAGGCTTGGTGTTAGACTTAAAGAGGGTCTTGGGTTGGTAGCCTCACACAGTCCCATGCTCTTGGCTTGTCCCACTTGACAGGGCTTTTTGGGAGAGGGACGATGCCACCATCTACCTAACCCGTTCCTTTGTTACTTTCTATCTCTCAGTGCTGGTCCCAAAGGCGATAACATCTATGAATGGAGGTCCACCATCCTAGGACCTCCAGGGTCTGTGTATGAGGGGGGAGTGTTCTTCCTCGACATCACGTTTACACCGGAATATCCCTTCAAGCCTCCAAAGGTAAGAAATCCTCCTTGTTCCTGCTAAAATCCGCTAATTCCCATAAGGGAGGAATTATTGAGGGTTTTTTTTCTAATTGAGTTTTTAATAACACATATACGAGCAGTTTTCTCTTACTTCCTAATTAATCATATTACATTTGAACATATATAAAACACTCCTTTGGGTTAGCCCCTTGTTTGTTTTCTACGCTTTGTTTTGGTGATATTGAAATCATGTTTATATTAACAGGGTCAGCAAACCCAGAATTAATTCCCTATTTTTCATCCCTATGGGGGAAAGAAGTTAATGAACAGCTAAAAGTGGGGTCAGACTATCCATGCACTAAATCAGAAATCGCCTACCAAAAGTCGCTGTGGGTTCTGTCTCTTGTCATTTTGGGATCTTGCTCAAATCTAGGTCTCGGGTTTCTCATCGAGGAGAGAGGTGGTCAGCGGTGCCCAAACCATACTCCATCCGACTCTCGTTCACACTCGCACTCTCAGAAGGACACCTCTCGGGGATGGGTAGACTGCCGCTCTTGCAATGGCAGGAGAAAGACGTCATCCTAAAAGTCAGTCACTTTTAAAAAGCAGTTGGGGTGTTCTGTGCATAAAACTTAAGAGAAGAAGCAGAAGAAGCCATGATCAGGTGGCCCGTCTGCTTCCACTATTGAGTAGTTCTCACCCACAGCTGGCTCCTCGAGTGAAGACCGTGGGCCGTCAGCTTTTAGACAGGACACACCACTTCTCTTGGCAGCTCAGTGTTTTTCTAATCTGTTTTTGAGGGTGTGTCTCTGAGCTTGAATTTGTGGATTCTGAAGCCAACTTTGAGGCTATGTAGTACAACCTTCTAACACAAGAGGTCAGCAAACAGCTATTCAAACCTGGAAATGTTAAGAAAAGATTTAAAACTGTAAAGGAAGTATTCACTTACCCTGCATACGATCAATGGGATAGATGAGACTTTTAAAATGCAATGGTCAATCCTGAGATTAGAATAGAGGTGAAATTACCATCTCAAATTGATTGGGTTAATTTGTGTTTAACTTAGCCTTGCTTTTTTTAGGTTACATTTCGGACAAGAATCTATCACTGTAATATTAACAGTCAAGGAGTGATTTGCTTGGACATATTGAAAGATAATTGGAGTCCAGCGCTAACCATTTCCAAAGTCCTCCTTTCTATCTGCTCACTCCTTACAGACTGTAATCCTGGTAAGATGAATCCATTTTTAGCTTGTTTCACTCGTCCTCACCTGAGAAAATGCATGTCGAGCCCATGGGGGTAGGTTCCATGTCAGTTTCAAGGCTACACTGTAAGAACGGGGGTTCTGGTTTTGACCTGACTGCCCAGCTCTATCTAAGTCAACAGTGCCGAGGCAGACAGCGGTGTATTGTAATAGCCCCCATGGATTTCAGCGTCACCCCTGCACCTTCATAGGTGCCAAAGGTCATGTAACCATAGTGAGTGTTCATTGTGGCCTGGAGCCTGGAACATTCTAGTCTTTACTGAACTTAGCCTAACATAAAAGAACCTCCTCCTGAACAAAAAAAGAAAGATAAAACAACTCCAATTGGGTGTTATTTGGGACAGAAATCGAATGAATTAAGGATATGAACCCAGATCAACATTCTACTATGGTTAAAAAAAAAACCACCCGCTGCTCCCTCAGCGCCCCCCCCCACCCCAATGGTGTTTTTTAAAAGCCTAGAAGGCAAAATGCCCAGAATAGTGGGTGTGGTGTTTCATAGATCAAATTCCGGGGTGCTAACAGATGTTTTGAAAGCATTTGGCTACTAAAGGTTGGTGGTTCGAATCCACCCTATAGCAATGTGGGAGAAAGGCCTGGCTTGGTGATCTGCTCCCGTCAAGATTGCAGCCAAGGAAACCTCGTGGAGCAGCTCCACCTGTGTGCACAGGGCCGCCATGCCGCAGACCTGACTGTGCGGGCTCTTTCTTGGGTTCAGAGAAGGGTTTCATCACAAACACTCTTGTCGCCTGTTTCTACCCAAGCTGGCTGATTTGCTGTGAGCCAAAGGTGTTTTATTTCTGAAAAAGTAATCTACACTCTTTCCCTTCCAGCTGACCCTTTGGTGGGAAGTATTGCCACTCAGTATATGACCAACAGAGCTGAACATGACAGAATGGCCAGACAGTGGACCAAGAGATACGCGACATAAACTGGGTTTTGACAATTCGTGCATTACTTGTTTGTCACAGAAGAGAGCTGCTTATGATTTTGAAGGGGTGGGGGAGGGTGGGAGTTGGTAAAGAGTAGGGTATTTCTATAACAGATATTATTCAGTCTTATTTCCTAAGATTTTGTTGTAACTTAAGGTATCTTGCTACAGTAGACAGAAAATTGGTAATAGCAACTTTTAAAACTGTCATTCGTTCTGCAAACTTAGCTGAAATGTAGTACACACAAGAATGTGCATCTAGACATTTGGGTTCAGTTGCTCGTAGTACGTAAATTCAGAACCGCTTGATTTTTGTGCAGGCTCCACCCAAGGCCACGGTGTGAAGTCCTTCCCGGACAGAACGCTTTGGCGTTTAGTGAAAACAACCAATATTGGATTCTGTCGTCCCGCGTTGGGAAGGGACATCGCTATTTCAGAGTTTAAGAGGCATAAAGTAGACAGTGGCGGTAAGACACCATATAGGAGAGCAGTAGTTAATGTGTTTTATTTTATATGCCAATCTACTTTATTGTGAAAAGATGAAAGGTTTGAATCAGGACTTGTGAAAACCTGTAGTGAAATACCTTAAGCTGTTAACTGTAAGGACTAGGAGTTGCTCAGTGGATTGGTTATGTTGTGGACTACTTAAGTCTGCATTTGTTACTGTGCTAATAAACAATATTAAAAACCACCACGTACTGGTGTGCTCATTCCCTCTCTCTCTCTCTCATTCGGTTCCTGTCTGCAGATTTTGAGCTGTACTATTAAAACTACCTAGAAGTAATCACAGATCTAATAGCTGATGGCACATCATGTACTCTGAGATTCCAGTGGATGGCTACAGACAGGTTTTCTTGTCTTGGTCATGTTAGGACACGTTACCAAAAAAAGATCCAATCAAAAGAGCAGTGGCTTGGAGGGGACCTGCTGGGCCACTTCAATTGAAGGCAGGTTATATCAGCTGTTTCATAGGACCCCAAAGGGGTCATCATCTCTGTTGGTGTTCTCAGGACACAGGACAATCACGGGAGCTTGTTAGAAGTTTTCAGAGAATGGAAAACGGAACGAGGAAAAGGTCAGAAATTGTGCACGGAAGCGTTTTTCCTCTATCACAACAATGCACCTGGATCTCTCCAGGCCGGGCTCGCCCCTACAGACTTGTACTCTGTCCTGTTAGTGTCACTAGGAGACAGAATCAACAGCAGCAGTGACAGCAGCGAGTGGTTGGTTGGCTTGGTAACATCTTTCAAAGAGGAGCAAGCTGTAAGGCATCCTTTTATAAGCATTTCCTAACCTGAAGGTGCTCAAGTGGAACAAGTAACAGCGATGGGTCTCTACTCCAGCTAATGGGGCGATCAGTCGGGACAGCCGCAGGGGGGTAACTTGGCATCACGTAGGTGCACCCCCTCCATAACCCAGCAGTTATTCTGTCTCCCCACCTACGCCTCCGCTCCGGAAAAACTCAGCCAGGTGCCCCAAATGAATATGCATGAGTGTTTATTGACGGCTTGTAGGGAGGAGAGGTAACTACTAATCATAGATCCAAGTTTTCAGTCAGGAAAAAAGCAATCTGCGGGGTGATCTCAAGTACGTCATGTTTAAAAAAGCAATAAGTGTTCGATGCACAGGAGCAACAGAAAAGGATCGGCACGGTGAACAGGATGGTTTTAGCACATCACTAATTACGCAGTAGCACAGGACTGGGTGGTTTACAGCCACTGTAGCTCTTCTGTATGCAGCTGTTGGCTTGAGTTCACTAACCTGAGCCACTAAGCCTTACTAAAACTATCCAATCTAAGGTGTTGAGCTCACTAGATGCTTTCACGTGTTCTCTGATCAATAGCTAAGTTATAATGCCGTCAGCATTCTAAATATTAGGGCGCTTCAAAGAGTTCGTGGAAAAGTAGAATAATAGAAAATGTCCACAGATGTTTTGAACTCCCTTTATACAATTAGCCCCATGGTTCAAATCCTGGCAAAATCTTCAGGAAACCTTAGCAGAGGCCAGATCGCCTAAGACTACCCTTGAGGCCAGTATCTTCATGACCTGTTTTATTCTAAATGGCTAGGTATGTAGAAGACTTGTTCAGAACATAGTCATCCTTCTGGAAAAGGGAAGCTTGATTGTCCTTAAGGCCTTACTTAGCCGATGAAACCATGTCTTGGGTTTATCAATCAGGCACCAGCAGAAAGGACCAGAAAATGGCCTTGGATAAACCTAGTTACCCCACCTAGCTCAAGGTGTTATAAACATGCATTTGGAGCTAAGCTATATTGTAAGTTTTGTTCAGACTCATACAGGAGAAAGCTTAACTCACTTAATACCCAGATCATTTACTGGGCACTCCTATACTCCTGTACTCCGACAGAGAGAAAATGCCAAGTCTCATCACCCAGATAATAGGTGATTCGTGACCATTTAGAAATAAAGCTATGCTCAGGCTGGCAACACACAGGATGGCGGTTTATGAGACGGGAACAGTTAGCGGTAAAACATTTGCATACTGTCGAAAGTCAGTGTTTGATAAGTGTAACAAATAAAAATAACCAAGGTGCTAATTTCAGGGACGGGTTGTACACAGTGGGAGTGAGAAAACCTTTCCTATCGGGTAATAGCAACTGCAACTGAGTATTTAAATCACAACCTAAAGTGCTTTCAGTGGCGTCCGTCCTTAGGGGCCTTCTGCTGTTGCCCATGTTCACAGACACATGAAGACGCGTGGGATCGTGATTTCACATCTCAGAGCTGGAGTTCCCTTTGTTTTTCCTCCCAGGCAAAGGGAAGCTCGATTTGCTCTGCGGCTGGGAAAGTTTACTGGCCAGCAGGGTGAAGGGCTCGATGAGAGTCTTCCGATCGGTCACCGTCACCTCCCACAGCCTCACTTTCTCGCTCCTGGCCCACTGCTGGGCCACTTCCGCATCCACTTGTCTCTGCTCAGAGAGGTCCAGTTTGTTTCCTAGTACGACAATGGCCACCTGAAAGAAATGGATTGGAAAGATGATGCTCGGGCGCTGACAGGTCGTCTCACACACAATGGAGAGAAACGGGGAACTCTGAGCTACCTGCTGCGCTGCATGGCACCCCTGTGTGACCTGAGGGCAGAAGATGGAGCGCCCTGACCGTCCTGAAAGCTAAACTGTTGACCCACCGATGAGCAGCAGGTGAAAGTTTACGTCACATGAATGGGAGAGCAACTTGGGAAATGGGTATCTAGGAGATAATAAGGAGTTGAGTAAAATGTGGCCAAGTTTAACTTGGATTAGACTATTCCTGGTGTTTGGGAGATTGGCAATTCCACACAGAACTGTTAAAGCCAGATGCCAACTGGAGCAAGTAGCCAAGGCCTCCCTCCTCAGCTACCCGAGGGCAGGGATCTTTTTCTTCTATCATGTTCACCGTATTCCCAGCCCTAGGACAGGGCCTCGTGCAAGGTAAGCACTCAGTCCAGGTTGAACAAAGGAACCCCTAGAAGTTTCTGCTGAAGACAAGTCATTCGTTCATGAGAGGCAATGGCCAGGCTTGGGTCAGTAAGGAGGGAGGGCCCAGCCCTTCCTTCAGGATGGTGCAACAAAGGGTGAAGGGGAGATCAGCAAGCAAGCCAGCCAGAGCATCTCTGGGAGAAACAGTGAGCGAAAACAGTGGCCGTGATGCCAACAGACTCCAGGATGCAAAGTGAGCCCGGCCTTCCCAGCAGGGCTGGAAAGCAGCCCCCAGGGCGCCCGTCCCTTGGCAGTCCTCCTGTCATTCCTCATCACTGAGTCTCATCTTCATCTCTGGTCTCCTTTCGTCCCTCCTCCCCAACTACAATGCTTCCACTCTGCCCCCTTGAAAAAGCTCCCTTCGCTCACGGTCTGCTTCCAGTGTTCTCACCTTGCCTCACGAAACGCTGGTTCAGCCCTGTGGCCCCTCAACCTGGCTGGCTGGCTGGCTTTTATTACGCCCCTCCTGCCACTACCACTGGGGCTGGGGTACAGGGGGTATTGTCCCGCGATGCTGCCTCCAACAGAAATCCCTTCAAACGTCTACTCCCATGATCCCTCCATGACCCTGGCTCATGGTCACTTCTACAGTACTCTGTTTTGTTTTTCTTCTTACATTTCTTACCAATCCACAGATCATACAATTCAATCGTTCAATCACATCAAGAAGAATTGTACAATCATGACCACAATCCGTTTTAGAAGTTTCTCCCCCCATGGCTAAATCGCCTTTAAAATGAGTTGTGTAATCACAATCAGTTCTAGTGCTCCCTCCCACCTTCATTGTTTACTCCTGAAATCACCTCACCTTCCCTATCGCCTGCCCACTCCACCCCTACATTCCCTATAAACACTTGCATTAGTTATTAGCTCTATGCATACACTCCTGTGCTTCACAAACTGGGAAGCCCAATAAAAAGCAGTATCAAAGTAGTAAAGATAACAGAGAAACATACAAATGAGTAGGAAAGAAAAGACCACCCTCGATATTTTAAAAAGCCAGGGAAGAAATTTCTATCGTGGAATATGCACCTGGAGCAAATTCAGGTTTGGTCAGTAGGGAAGTCAGATGACTGAGCGAGTATCAAGTTCCATCCAGCATAGTCAAGATTTCAATGATCTCTGACAATAGGCTTTCAAGACCCTTGCCTGAGGCTAATGGTCCGCCCTAGGAGCTTGATCTAGCCAGTTACTCTGCAGATGGGTTTTGGGCTTCCACTGTCCGCCATAGCCTTCTACAAATTGGGTGTTTGCCATTTAAACTCTTGATATTTTTCCCTTTGTCATATTTGAATTTTGTTATCGTTATTGTTGTATCACAGAGGCCGGTGTGCTTCCTCCATGTGGACTTAGTCGACTCCTCGCTTGGATGGATGCTTGTTTGAATACAAGCCTTTGAGACCTCTGCTTGGTAGCTGGGTACCATCTGCTTTCACCACACTTTGCTGTAGCACCCTTCTCCTCAGTGATCTCTTGGTGAAGGAAAATATCAAGCAGGGTCATCCTATAGTACTCTTAATTCCTAATGATTCCATTAGCCATGTACATGACCCTGCCAATAATCTGAGCTCAGCTCCTTGAGCCCTCCCTGATGGGATACCGTGCACCTTACCTCCGCCATTCGCCCGCTCTCACGGTATACTCCTGAGTCTCTCTGGTGATGCTTCCCTCCGGGATCTCAGTTCCAAGTGGCCCACTCCTGCCTGCCTAGGTCACCATTCTGAAAACCACAATCCCATCGGCTTGACCACCTTATCGCTGGCCCTCGGCCCGCTTCAAGTCCTCCGTTCCTCTTCAGGCCCTTTAGATACATTCTGTCGCCCGTAGGTTTTGCGAGCCAAACTCCATCCCATCAGGTTCTCCTAGCCTACACCTCAGAGCCCAACTCAACCTCTGACCTCAATAGAGTTGACATTCCCCAGCAATAGATTCTAACTAGACCGTATCTCATACTTGGGTACTTTCTATTCTAACTTCCAACATTTCTTCCTCCACTTACGGACCATACTATTTTAGTAAGAAAACAGAAGGAATTAGGAGAGAACTTCTGCAAGCTTCTACTACGTGGAGCAGCCTGCAGTCTTCCTGGCCCTGCACACACTGCTCTGAAACCTATGCTCTCAGCTGGACAAGCATGTCACTCGGACCACTGTCCCCGCGCCTGCATCAGCACTGTCCCCCCACCAGATGACTGCTCAATGCTGTCTCTCATCCCGACAGACAAAACCCACCACCACTTTAGACGCCACATCGGCCTCCAGCTCCGGCACCAGTTCTTTTGTGCCCCCTCACCGCGATGTCTACTGCATACGGTTCTCTCTCACACCCACTCCAGTCTGACTGCATCGCACTATTTCACTAAAGCTGACCTGGTCAAGACCACGGTCATTCCCTAATCCTCAGTATTTTTGGACCACGGGAAACATGGATTCCCTTTGACCACCTGTTCCTCTTAAAATGCTAGCGCCACTTGCCTTCTGGGACACGGCGACCTCTTGGCTTAGCCTGCCTACCTCAGTGGCCAAGGTGGTTCTCCTCACCTCTCCAACGCATCAATGTTAAAGTGCCCAGGGTGATAGAGATCCAGGGGCCTCCTCACCGGGTCCCTCACTGTCTACAGCCACAGGCAACAAAGTGATCCCTTTAAAACATGCAAGTCACTTGACCGCCTACATATGAAGAAAAAGAAAACGAAAAAGAACCTTCTTTCTCCAGCAGATGCTGTTGATAGAGACGCAACAACTCGGCTGAACCCCTGGAGAATTATGCACAGTGATGAGAGTTGTTCCCAAAAGATTATATAACATTCCTGAGATGACAAATTAAAAGGATGGAGAACAGATTAATGGTTGCCAGAGGCTAAGAAGGGGTGAGGTGGGAGGGTATTGGGGAGTCACAGAGATCCACGCAGTGGTGGATAAGTTCAGTATCTTGTCTGTCTCAGTGGTTGTATCTGGGTTGTGATACAGTTTTGCAAGATGTTATCACTAGGGGAAACTGGGTACGAAAGACCCATTCCCGTCAAGTCGATTATAACTCATAATGACCTTAAAAGCCAGCAGCTCTCAACCTGTGGGTTGCGACCCTTTTGGGGGTCGAAAGACCCTTTCACAGGGGTTGCCCGATTCTTACAGTAGCAAAATTACAGTTATGAAATAGGAACGAGAATAATTTTATGGTTGGGGGGGTCACCCAACAGGAGGAACTTTATAGAGGGTCACGGCCTTAGGAAGGTTGAGAACTGTTATAAGCCGAAAACTTGCTTCAGACTCGTAGCAACCATATAGGCAGGCTAGCACTACTCCAAAACTAACTCTACAGGCGTAGAAAGACCGTCTTTCTCCTGCAAAGTGGCTGGTGGTTTCAAACTGCTGACCTTGAGGTTCTCAGTCCATCGCATACCCCCATGCCACCAGGAGTCCTTTAGTAAACCCACAGGGCAGAGTAAAACTGCTCCCTAGGTTTCCAGAGCTGTGAGTCCTCACAGCATAATGGTCCCTTACATGGTACACAGAATCCCTGTTATTTCAAATAACTGCATGTGAATCTACAATCACCTCAAAGAGTTTAATACTAAAATATAAACACCTGGCTTAAGTACACCTAGCCCGGTGTACTCTCAGCTAGGACAGGATCCGGTCCTCTAGACGGGGAGGTAGCTGTGAGAGAGCGGGGGAAGGATCAGGGCGTTCGGGCAAAGGAAGCCTCAGCTGTGGGCCATTCATGAGGAAACAGAATCCCGAGGGTGGACAGATGGGAGGTAGACCAGAATCACTGGCGCTCAGTGGAAGAGGAGAATGAGCAAAGGTAAGGTGAAGGGCAAGCCGGGGCCAGGTTGTACAGCATTTGATAGACTGTGTAGGAAGGCATGCGGATCTTGTTTTTCTGTGTTATCTAAATGGATAAACCCCCAATCTTACCAGTTTTTCATGTGTGTAATCTGTAAAGCTGGAGACAATTTACTTAAGGAAGACAACAAAGAACATGGGGCAGAAAGCCGCCACGTAACACACAAACTACAGGGTGTCGGGATCTGAAGTCATTAAAACCCAACTTGTACGTGGTCCTGGATCAAGCTGAACCAGCCCTGTATGTCCTGAACTAACAACAAAGTTATGATGATCACAGATATTGTGAATACATTTAGTTCTTGGAAATCATTAAACTACCCCTAAGCCCATGCTACTGTTGAAATAGGATCCCAGTTCACCGGCAGCGTGTTTAATGCCTCCCCGTACCTCTTTCTTGTCTTTGAACTTGTCGATTTCTTTCTTTAGGAGCTCCACTCTTTGAAAGGACTCGAGGTTATTCACACTGTACACAAGAACAAAGCCATCGGCAAAGGAAAAATAATGCTTTGGCAGCTCCACGCCTTCCTGTAGGCCTCTGGTGTCATAGAGATGCAGCTGCTCCTTGACGCCCCGGTCTGTTTCCACTGAAGCCATGTACACGTCTTCCAGGGTCTCGCAGTCTTCCATTCCTGGAATCAAACAAACACCTCGTCTGGCAGCGTGCTCTGGATGGTTACGCTGCTCACTTTCTTAGCCTTTAAAAGGCGGCTTTCTACCGCGTAGATAGAATAAGTCATCACACTTCTATCTTACTAGCGTCTTTAAAAATGACAGATAGCTGTAGCTTCAGTGCCCACCTGGGTGAGCAGGAGGTGGCATGCACGTACATGCAGGGGCAGACTGCCCGGCCTTTAAAAAGAAGTTCCCAGATCACCTTGCAATGCAATGAACCTGGAGGGCAATGCGCTGGCTGAAATCGGTTCACCACAAAAGGAGAAATATGATGTGATCTCACTCTTAGGAAGTCACAAGAATACAAAGATCAGAATTCAATGGCGGTAAACAAGGGGAGAGGAGAAAAGGAACCTTCTGTTTCTTAGGAAGGGCAAGGGGGCAGTGATGGGGTGAGGTTCACAGCTTGACTGACAACACTAAGGGGTACACAAAGCGGTGTAGGAGACCGTGTTGTGTTCTGGTTCTGGTTCTGATTTGGATGTTATCAGTGTTTGGCGAGAGCGCATCATTGCTTTGATTTGCATCTCCCACATGGTTAATGATCATGCGCATTCCTTCCTATGTTTGTTATCCAGACACTAATACTACGTAGCTACAGCCAGTCATCTCACAGGATTCATTTTCCTGGTTTAAAACCGTAGGGTCATGGTCTGTGGAACAATCCTGTCCATTGGCACAGTATTGTTCTTAACAGTGTACGTTCTACCTGCTAGTGGTGACTAGTGTCTAGGATCTTAACAGCTTACACACAGCCACCTGAGACAAAACTTTGGGTCTCTTCATTTGGAGCAAAAGAGAAAGAGCTGGACCACAGGACTGACTCCACAAATCACCACCCCCTCTGCCTTGCGACCCAAGGCAGTAGGGGGTGCCCAGGCATCACTGCTGCGTGTCCGCAGTATCAGAAGGATGCTGATCGAAAGGGACAAACAGGTGGCACAGAACTTTCAATTCCTAAAGAGCCCAAAGTCACTGGGTCCCCCGAGGCTGCAAGAAGCCCTGAGTTACTGCCCTGAAAGACTCTTTAAACCGGAAGCAAAAGGATCCCCTGAAGCCATCTTTAAATAGCAAAAAAGTAAAAGGTGTCACCATCGAGGACTGTGCTCTTAAGAGTTATCTCTGAGACCAAACAGATGAGAGGCTGGGGTGCGCAACAGTGAGACTACGTCGATGGGAACAGAGGAAATTGAATGTGGGTGGGGGGGTGGGGATAAGGATGCTGACACACACCAAGGTGCCAGTCATTTTGTAGAGATCGCGGAATAGAAACTTGCTTCACTGTATATACTTTTACCAGAAATACAGTCAAACATTCCTTAAGAGGTAGTTGTTTTAGTAAACAAGTGCTTTCATTCCAATTTTAGTAGATGTGCTGCCGAAGCAAACACTACCATATGCTTTCTAAGACTATTGCTTCTAAAAGTATTTGCGTGCTACACATCCCCCAGAACAGTGATGCCAGGATGAAACACCTCACCTTGTGGTAGAGTCTGAGGATAGTATGCTGAGTGAAATCAGCCAGGCACAAGAGGTCACAGACAACACGAGTTCACTGGGTCAAGTTCAAACAGCAGAATGGGCGAAAGGGAAAATGGGCACAGCACACAATTCCCGGCTGAGGACCAGAGATTCCGGCAGGAGCCAGACCAAACCCATTGACTCACATCATCAACAACAACAGATGCAGATAGCACCTGTGCCCTCATATGCCTTTAGGGCCCACACAGGTGAGGGAAGAATAATGATGGCAGTGGGGGGGGGGGGGGTGTCCGGCACTAGCCCACTCAAAGGGAGGGTTCTGGTTTTAGCTCCACAGGAAAGAGAGAGTAGACCTCAATTCACAAGGACAATGTTCCTGCCCAGAGGGGCTCGTTCCCAGAGATGCCTGCAGGGCCAGCCTCGGCTTGAGACTCGTGTCCCCACCTTAGATGGCAGCTCTACAGAGGACAGCTCTAAAGACATATTTCAGAGAGAGTAGCCAGTCTGACCAACCCACATGGGGGTAAACCAAGAGGGGAGTGCAACAGACCAGGAATGGGAGCAAAGCCACGAAGTCCCGAAGGAAGCGGAGGGGGGGCGGGGCGGGGCAGCACATGGCACCTTATCTGAACTGGTTGGGGATTATTATTCACAAAGGGGCCACAATGAAAGTTAAGGCAGTGGTTCTCAACCTTCCTAATGCTGGGACCCTTTAATACAGTTCCTCGTGTTGTGGTGACTCCCCAACCATAAAATTATTTCATTGCTACTTCATAACTAATTTTGCTACTGTTATGAATCAGGCGACCCCTGTGAAAGGGTCGTTTGACCCCCAAAAACCATCTTACCTATAGTATGGTTCCCATAAAGAAGCTGCTCCAAAATTGCAGTTTTCCCCACAGATAACAATCCGCAAACTACAACCTTGCAGCCCTTGCCCATCTTCGCTCAGGAGATCACTGCAAAGAGAACAGAAGTCTTTAACATGCCCTGTTGTCGAGACCAACCTCTTCTTTCTTCTCACATTTAGTTAAGGACGACATACCCATGGTGGGTGCCTTTCAAATTTGTTTTTAAAAAGGATAGCCTGTATTGCAAAAGGGATTTCCTTCCAAGTCCCATTCCTTGGTCTCCCATTTGCTCCGTGGGAGCAATCAATCTTAGCAGTTTCTTACAAGGGTAGTTTCTGGTTTATGATGTTTGGCAGTTACAATGAACCACGCTTGCTGTCTGCCCACTGTTTAATTTTGTACACCTTTTCCTTAGTAATATGCACTACGTTTGATATTGCAGTGTTTAGTTTGCTCACATTATCATTCTCATGCCAAGGCCCATAGACAAAGTTTGGATTTAGATATAAAGATGCTGATAAGAAAATGCAATAATAATGAAAAAAATCAAGGATTACGACTTACATCAGGACTGACTTACAATGGAATCCTCAGGAAAGAGCCCTGTCCTAAATCAGGGACTATACACATACAATATCGTTGCAGATGTTAAAGATCAACATAACCACATGTTTAATTCCTATTAAGATGTTCTTTTCCAAAAAGAATGAGCACATTTTATACAAAGAATATTACAGTACAGAGATGCCAGTAGGAATCCTAGTTGTGTCCTAGATTAAACCTTGAACAGTTAAAAAGTCTTGAAGCAGCCTACTCATCAATGTTTACATGGAAAAATAAACATTTACGTAAACATTTAAGGGGAAATAAAGATAATAAGAATACAGAGTGGATACAATTTTTTAAAAAGAAACATTTGTTACTGTCTTTTCTCCAGAGATTGAGAAACTGAATTTTGTCAGCTGCGTACAAAA